AGAAACAAGAAATTTCCCACGCTTAGCAGCGGATTAGCAACCGCATTTAGGGTTGTGGTAGTGCTTTAAAAAGAACACTGCTGTACATCCCTTTAAATTATCCACCATTAAATCATCATCATGATTTAATGGTCAACTATTATATACTAAACACATATTCCATTTTATTTTGGTAAATTCCATTTAAAATCATAAACAACAGTCGAAATGTATGCGGAAATAAAAACTGGAGTCACTGCTTGTATGTAATATTACTATGTTGAAGTAAATAATGGTATGGTCACCAAACACCGTGAGAATTTACTTCAACAAAGATGGTGTGAGTCATATGTGTATTTATTTTGCAATAATTGGCGACGTGGTTATACCGCCTCTTGCTGCCGGCATTTTTATCCATACTAATATTATGTGAAAGTGAGCTTGTTTGTTATCTTTAAAACTTTTGGCGTCTTAAGATGGGTAGTTGACAACGACGACAGGTCTTCTGATCCTCTCGGTGGGAGGGTAAGGTGGGGGCCTCGAGGCGAACCTATTTGCCCCAACTTCTACTCTGGAAGCGCCTACTCCCGGGTCTTGAGCTCTTACCAAATGGGTGAGGCATTGGTCACTTAACAAAATGGCCACGAAATACGCAAGACAACAATAGAATTGAGACTTATAGAATTGAGTTTGTTATATTGTATTTATAGATAATTAGAGGCAAAATTTATACATAGTAATGAGTGATTTTATAATTTATCATATTTTATGACTTTATTCTCTTGTATTGTACAACTTTGTAAAAAACATACACTAAATTTAATAAGCAAAAAATTGGATTTCATGTTAAAAAATGTTAAAAAATTTCATAAGCAAAAAGACCTATGCATAATATTTTATAGTATTTTTTTATACAACTTAGAATGGCAAACAATCTGACGGCCCACCTGATGGAAAGTGGTAACCGTCGCCTATAAACATGAGCAATACCATGGACATAACAGAGTATAGGTACTGTTTCGCCCATATTGAGTATACCTTTTTTATGACATAAATTGATAGTTCTGTGTAAATTTACCACTGAATGTTACATTTTGCATTTACAACTTTTTCTTAAAGTCCTTTAAATAAAAAATAAATCTCATAAATGGATAATTTTTTTGGATATATCATATAACATACGTACATCAAACAACTTCCTCCTTTTTGAGCCATTAAAAATAAATATTCATCTATTTAGGTACACGAGACGGGGAAGGATATCCTCGTATCTTTTTCGGTCTCTCCAGACTTTAAATGACAAATCCGGCCGGACGAATTCCTGTGTGTCTGTCATTAAATGCACGTTAATTATTACAAACACGTACAGTAACTACTTAACTTGTTTGTTTGCTTCTGTCCCAAATTATTTCGTTAATGGACATTGCGTCATGTTAACATTTTTAAATATACTTAGTTACGTAGGTAAGTAATGCTCAAGTAAAACATCAATCGGTACAACTCTTAAATAAAACTAAAATGCCACTCGATTACATAATTTTCACACTGTCTTTAACAACATTGTCGTCATTACGATAACTAAGTGTGCATACCAGAAGGAGACTGCACAAAAGTCGACTGCATCTCATTTGTGCATGTCCCCATAGTGTTTCTGACATGAAGCAGTTGTGCTTGCACTGCTATATTTCAATTTGGAGGATAGGATATGGCGGTGAAATTACAGAATATTAACATATAAGAAGTACCGTAAGTATCGCAGTATATTCTGTAATGCCCACCATGCTTTTCATGTCTATAGGCGACGGTTGCCACTTTCCATCTGGTACGCCGTCAGCATATTTGTCATATTAAATTTCATAAATAAAATCCAAAAATGACGAATACCATTTTTTTTATACAACTTAGAATGGCAAACAAGCTGACGGCCCACCTGATGGAAAGTGGTAACCGTGGCCTATAGACATGAGCAGTACCATGGACATATCAGTACACATAAATACAGTTTCGCCCATGATACTATATATACATGATATTATTTCTCTGTACCCTGTAAATTCACGCCATATCCCACCCTTCAAACCGAAACACAGCCATGCAAACACAACTGCTTCGGTAGAAACACGAATGGGACAGAGCAATCGACTTTTGTACAGTCTCCCTCTGGTGAATACAATATTGGCGCCAAAATGTATCATATTGAATTCCATTATATTGTAAATTTTTATAGTGGACTGTTGCTACATTCAATCAGGGGGCGTACAGCTCATTTACCATGCCAAAAGTTAAATAGATTATGGCATACATAAATCATAACAATAATTCACCGGCCATGTTGTCACTCTAGACATTTGTAAGAAATAATACACATAATAATAAATCATATTGTTGTTTTTAATGTTTGAATACAAATGTGTGTATAAAATAATCATTATAATTATACCTAGTAAGTCGGTGAGTTTGTAGCGAACGTCGTCCTTGCTGTTAACCAAGGAAGTCGATGCTTAGTGAATACACAAAGCACAAAGTAAAACTGGTAAAATCCATTAAGCTTTGATTTGACATCTAGTCTAATCTAGTCTAATCCTACAATCTGAATACAAAGTTTTCAACAAATTAAAAAAGAAGGAAATAAAGAAAAACATATTTTTATTCAATTAAAATTAGATTTAAGCATTTTTTAATAGTCGTTTTTTCATTATATTACTGCCAGTTTCAGTCAAGAACAACGGATAAGAAACCCAGCTGTAGCTTTTTCAAAACTTTATCTAAAATTATAAATATTAAAATAACAATTATTAATCATAATTACTAGGGGGTAATGGATTGTTAGTAATGGAGACTGAGAATCCTATTGCTAGCAATATACCCAACCAGGTCGACCTCGCGGTTCTCCCTGGAAACTATCATGATTAATTCCTGATGAATTCATCATGATGGGCTAACTGGCCTGTTTTCATTCTCATCTATCACCCTTCACTGGTGCTCCGCCAGCGTATTCCGTTAGTGCAGGCGGGGTTACCATACCATTTTCACCCATCAAAAAAAAACATAATTACTAAGCGTCAAAAAACAAAAAGTATCCAGCAGATTCTAACAGCTTTAGCCTACGAGTAAAGGGGGAAAGGGATTGTTACTAACAGCCCCATTTATTGCAATAAGCCCAATCAAGTTGACCTCCACGCGGTTCCCCTTAGAAACCATCGTTAATTCTAGTTGAATTCATCAAAATGGGCCAAGTGGCCTACTTTCATCTTCACCTATCATCCCTTACTTACCCGCCAGCGTATACCGATAGCACAAATTATTTTTATGCAACTTAGAATGGCAAACAACCTGACGGCCCACCATCAGAAAGATACTCGTCGCCTATAGACATGAACAGTACTATGGACATAACAGAATATACTGTTTCGCCCATAATACCCCCCATGCATTGCCATTCCTGACGACTCAAGTGTCATACCTCTATACCGTGTAAATTCACAAGTGGAGTAATCATTCCATTTTCACTTATTAAAAAACCTACGAGTACATACTAATACTATAAAAACCTCGCCATATATATACCAACGACCCTGTATTAGTACTCTGTGTATATACATACTGCCGTCTATCGTAGGTTCTCAGCTGATCTTGACATTTGCTAACAAAAAGGTACCGCTAATTCGTTACAACACAGCCTGTAAAGTGTAACATCCATTGAACCGTGTTTGGCGGCCCAATGCCCATTCCATTAACACAACAATACAAATACTTTGTTTTTAGTACAAATTGCAAAATTCATTCACGTGAAGCGAAATTTAATGACTAAATTCTTGAAGGTCTATACGTAATAAATAAATAGAGTTAGGTATTTATATTAATATTTTAAATAATAATTTAAATTTAAGAGCACAATTTTTATCTGCAATCAATTATCTTAGTAAATAGATTTATATTTAATTACTCACATCTATAAAAAAATTTTTCTTTGCAAATTTATTTTATATGTATACCTAGATTTATCTTTTATAATTAATTCAGTTTAATTTATTGTAAAACTAAGTTTATTAACTTATCCTTACTTAAAACATATATATATATATATATATATATATATATATATATATATCATTAGTAGACATTGAAAATTTACTTATTTATTTAAACTAATAGCATTCTCTACCAGTCAACTTTGGGATGAATTACGACCGCGCTACTTCCTTATCGGAATAGGTAATCTGGCATTTCTTTTTTCTTGTCCCTTTCTTTTATAATAATTATCGATCGATAATTAAAAAATAAATTCTATCCAACGTAATAAAAAATTGTTTTAAAAAATGCCTGCTCTATTTAACAGTCTAGATCTGTCGTAATAAAACCAGCGACTCATTTGAATTATCACAAAAATCATATAGAACCCTATCGATTGTAAAAAGGTTTATCAGAATCAGTTTAGAATTCGTAAAATTTTCGCGTCATATAAAATATAAAAAACGCTGACGAATCGAGAACCTACTCCACTTGGAAGTGACTTAAAAATATGATTCACGAACATTTTTATCTGGTAACCGCATAATAAAATTAAACTAAGGAAAACACCAGTTTTTATCATTGGTACTAAGAGATTATACTTGTAAACTGTAGGTACCTACTTATTATTAGAATAATGGTCACTTTTTTCACAAATGCACAAAAAATACACCAATTTTGTCTGTTTTTGCCATATTATCTGACAGTTATGAATATGTATGACGTTATTAATAATCCTTTTGGACCCAGCACGGACAAATGAATGGCTCAAATTGAGGAACAAGTTTTATCAAATCTCGCGTGTGACTTCTACCATATGTGTCATACAAACTCATTATTTTGAAATTAACTCTAATAGTAGTTAAGTGTTGGAGCAACGAACTTCCTATAAATTAACTAATTCCATGAAATTGTATGTCTTCGCCTTGAATGACGATTCTTTTGTGTTTTAAAACTGTTGATATTAAAGCGACGTCAGCCAATTTAGAGGAATAATTAAAATACCCAAGTAGTAAAATTAGTTTATTATCGTTGTCGTAATATAAAATTATATTAGTGTCTATATTTATTTTATAACTAATTAAATACAATGGCTATTTATATGATCACACACATTCACAAACTCGCACAGTCGCTCATCAGTCAAGAGTCAATAAGTTATTACGTGGGGCTATGTCTCGGAGTACGTATTTCCCGTTTATCAGGCCATTTGCCGGCAGTGTATTGCACAAATCCAGGGTCAGTCGGAGTACCAGAAGCTCTCCCTTCAGTCTCGGTGGCTTCTTTTTCAACAATTGGCTCCATAGGAAACATCGCCGGCGTGTCACCTCTTCTCGACCTGTTTGAAGATCGTAAATAATCTTCCAACTGCTGCAAAGTCGGCGTTGACACTTTTTGAGCTCTGGACGGAGATTTCGACTGCCGTTTTTGTTCGTAAGTCGGGGAGACTTCGTCGTACAAACTCTTCAATCGCCCAGTCTTTACTTTTGAAAAGACGGGCGTCTGTAGTTCTGGAAGGTAATCTTCTTTTACGGGCAATCTCCCGTCGGTGATTTCTAAATATCTTCTCAAATATTTCTCATTGAATTTCGCGAGCTCCTGTTCATAATGGAACCTGTCGATTTCCATTAACGGATCGGACAGTCTGAAGTAATTCCCGCTTTCAATGCCATTCCGTAATGAGCCAAATTTGGATTTTTCCAATTCGTCTCTTTGAAGGAAATCGTCCTCGAATTTCGTGTAATCGTGTTTGGGCTCATCGAAGAGGCTGGACTCTTCTTTCTTTGTATTCAGTTCTGCATTTTTTTCCAAGTCCAAATCTTTTGGTCTCTCCGGCTTCGCGTTTCCATTCTGTTTCTCAACAGGCACAATATGCCCGTTGGCAACTGGCTGCGCTGGACTTGCTATGGAGACTTTCTTCTCTGTTTTTGGTGACGAGAATGGATCCGTTTGAGACTTTTGTGCTTTGGTATATATCCTAGGACCCATAAGGTCTACGAGGAACAACGCGGCGACAATCAACGATAGGGTTCCAAGAACGGATGCATTCACCACTAAATTCCTCGGGACAGAATCCAGAGACGCCAACTCGAGGCCACCTGTTAAAACACATAATATTATTATTATCATTTTTCTCGTGATATTGTAATTTTACTAAATATCAAATAAGATAGGATTTCCAATGCTGTAAAGAATAATAAAAGACTTAATAAAATTGTCCAAATTCTAACAAATCAATTAAGTATTGTATTATTTTTTTAGTTTTCACCTTCTCGACTTATGTCGGCTTCAAAACATACCCCGTCCTGTAACCCACAGGAAAAAAGGTACATATGCCCCAGTTTTATTTTTTTATATCCGTCTTCTACCTCGCCTTCTCTTTTGAGTGTATAATGTATTTGTGAATGATTGTGTGTTTCGTGTATGAATTGTGTTGGATGCATCTGGTGTGTTTGTTGAGTGTTGTGTGTTAGTTGCCTGTTGGATGGTTGGTGACCAGTGTGTGTCTTGAGTGTGATGATTTTGTGCATTTTGTACGAATACGATATCTCCTAATATATTATATTATATTTATATTATATATGATATTATTATAGTATTATATTTATAATAATATCAAAAGCATATTATTATACAATTTTACTACATTTATTTTAATATATTAAAATTACGCCATTTACAGATATTCCTAATGTAGACGTTAATGTACTCGTAAGTTTATTAAGAGGAATCAAATAGGTTACAGAAAAATTACACTTGGTAAGAATAAAAAATATTGAAGTAAAACAGAAAGCAATAACTCTGCAGGTAATGAGAAAATATATATACACGTACTTAGTAATAATAATTATGTGATGTGAAAAAATTTACTATATACTAAATATTGAATCATAAGATTCAAGAATGCAGTCTATTTAAAATAATCTGCATTTTACTTTTACGTACATAATAGATGCTCTACATTTAGATTAGGTCTGAATTAGCTTTATAATCCTTAATAAAGGTTTTTGTAATTACAATAAAATAAATAACAAATTATTGTCTAGATAAATATATTTGAAATAAAACTCTTATCTATACCTAAGAATTACGAAAGAGATTTATCGAGCAAGAATGAATGGAGATGTCGGTAGGGACCACCCTAGGCGGACGTATGTCGACCAATAGACGTGCTGAAGAAGGGCCAAATTAAAAGTACCCGTAACCGGCGAGCGTGTATGAAAAGATTGATGAATGTGGAAGAGGCGAAAGAGGTTTGTTTGAATCGAAGCATTTGGCGTTCCATTGTTTCTGCCTACCCTAATGGGAGACAGGCGTGACAGATATGTATATGTATGTACTCTTACCTAAAACTAGGAAGAACAGCAAACCAAATCCGAGGAAGAAGCCTTCAAGTATGCGGCGACCTCTCGGTATCTCTTGAAACACTCGCGCCAGGATCAACCCGAAGGTTATTATCACGTAACCTGGAAGAAGAAAGAATAATTAAACATCCATATTGCTAGCAATAAGAGTGTATACATGTAGTACTGCACGTATAATAAGAAAATAGTTTGTTTATTAAGAGATTTATTAATTGCCAACTTAGCACTGCACGTACTGGGTTAATGTGTCGCCGCCCCCCCCCCCCCCCCACTTATATATTTTCTTTGTTTGTTATTTTATTTATCTCATATTAATTGTCAGTTTTTAATCAGTTAAAATATACGTCACTACCAACCTCATCGACCTAATTAATCCCGGAACAAAAACCTGTTCCGTGGTTAGTTCCTGATGGTATATTCGCCACTTAAGGCAAACTGGCCCACTTTCGTCCTCATTTATCACCATTCACTGGTGCCCCGTCAATTTATTCGAAAAGCGCATATTTTTAATTGATAAAATTGAAATGGTGCACCCGCTGGACAGGATACCAGTGAAAAACAATGAGACCATGGGGGGAAAGGGATTGTTAGTAATGGGGTCAAATAGCCCTATTACTAGCAATATACTCTGTCAGGTCGACCTCCACGCGGTTCCCCCTGGAAACCATCGTGACTAATTCTAGCTTAATTCGTCAGGATGGGCTAACTGACCTACTTTCATCTTCATCTGTCATCCCTCACTGGTACCCCGCCAGTGTATACCAATAGCGCAGACGGGATTACCATACCATTATCACCCATTAAAAAAAAACCATGAGACCATTGTAAAATAATGGAAATGAAGGCAGATCAATTAGCTCATTATGGCGAATTCATTAGAATTTTACCATGATGATTTCTAGGGATAACCTTGTAGATAGGGATAGCAGGGTGTATTGCTAGCATGGCCACTACTAACAATCCCTTTACCCTTCACTAGCAAAGGTTTGCTAGCAATGGTTGCTAGCAAAATTGCTTCATGTATATGTATAGATACCTTATATCTCCTCTTTTTTAGAAAGAAAAAATATATCGAAATGAAGTAAGTATGAATTGCGTACCCCCATACACAGCATCAGCGAATGCTCCTCCCACGGAGTCCCACGTGACGGAGGTGAGCAGCGACCACTCCCGCGACAGCTTCTGCAGCAGCAACGCCAACCGTGCCTCATCGTCGGACGACACGCGCTTCGCCACCAGGCACGCCACGCAGAATAACTAGAAAACCATAACAGACGAATATTCTCACATATTAAACCCAATATTCTGAGGTTGATATCAATTTTATAAATTTCATAATCACTTCTGGACATGGTATCTAATTGACAGAGATGGGAGCGGGACTGGAACGGGACGGGAGCGGGACTGAAGGCCACAGCGAGACGGGAGGGGGACGCGAGGTGGCCCTGGAGCGGGACCGGAGTGGGACCGGAACGGGACTAGAGCGAAACGGGAGGCAGACGACAGTGAGATATATGTGAAATGAAAACAATATAGGAATGAGATGAGAGCGAGATGGGAGTGAAATGAGAGCGAGATGAGAACGAAATGAGAGTAACACGGTAATGAAATGGGAAAGGAGATAAGAAGGAGATGAATGAGATTCTAAATATCATAAAATAATCCCTTTTATTTTTATTTTTTTATTTTTGTAAACTTCTTTTAAGTTCTTTAACATGAAACTACTTAACTAAACACGTAACACAAGTTCTGTATGAAAATTTTATCATATACAATTAATGATTGTATTACATAAAAAAAAATAGGCTTCAACTATGACGAAACTAAAACTAAACAATATTTTGAACTAAAACTGAAACTACTGAATCGATGCTGATAACTTTCTTGGAACTAACTCGTAAGTAATATACTTTCAGGTAATAAAAAAAGAATTTTCATATCGGTTTACAAGTGAAGGAACTATAAGATATCAAACATAAAAAGAAAAAAATTAAAACGAAATACCTCAAACTACCTCTAGGATTACAGCCATAAATACAGTTTATAAGTTAAAAAAAAATATAACATAAAAACATAAATGACTATATCTACCGATAGAGAATCAAGAAAGTTAACATTTTAATTTTCCGCTAGATCAACGTGACTAATATAAAAAAACAATCATCTTATTTTGATCCATTTTCCTTTTGCTGTGTAGCTATACCTGTAGCTAACATATAAAAAGTAAACATTGCTTCTAACGAGGCTAAATTCTGCTTGCAACCATAATGCAAAAGTGCTACCATAGAATAGTGCATATTTTCTATTCTGTGGTCCTACTATATTTTTTTAAATTCCGTACCAAGGCAGAGAAAACTATGGTACGACTTACTCCGGTCATCTATCTATTACAGCACTATATCTCTTTTGTACCCTAACTATTGGACATCAATAGACTAATTTATGCTTGGATCAATTTTACGTTTGTTTACATTTTCATTTTATTCAAATTTAGAATAGTATATTTGGTTATTGTTGGTATGCAAGCAAAATAAGTAATCGTACGTGTGTAATTTTTTTATCCATTTTTTATTTTTTCTACTATATCGATGGCAAAGTCATCCAATAGGAATTATAAAAATTTCAAAATGAAACTACTAATCCAAATGGGTATACTAAAAAGACTTCATTTACACATTTAAAAACCGTTTTTGTATAAAATATGTAAGGAGAGCTCTCGACTGTCTACTTGACTAAATTCTCAAAACAGAAGTTACAATTAAATTGTAATTTCAACAAAATAAATTGATATAAATAATTCTGTTTTTTTTTATGAATAAAGAAAGAAAGATAAGATAGATTTCCTCACAAATAAAAACGTTCGACACCCAACAAAGCCAACTCGGGTCCATTAGTAACAGTAGTATAAAATAACTGATTATTAGTGTGAAATTCCGCACACTGTCGCAAAAACTCGTAATACCTACTTGATTTCTACGATGCTTTAGTAGTTAGCAATAATGATGGTAAAATCTTCAAGTCATTGTGCCTAACGTCATCCCTACAGGAAGGTACTGGCAAACAATAGAGAGCCAGTAGCAAGGGTCCTTCGCGATTGTCGCCGCGCGCCGTCCACCGTGGGAGTGGCATTGAAGACATGGACCTAAGCAACCTCGCTTAATTATTCCTAACTTAAACACGTAGGTACATTATGTGGAGTAACCGAGAGACGTGACTAGAATTTGTGCACTTATTGCGATAGTTTACACGGTGCATTTGTAACAGATTTAAAAAGAAGAACGTGAAATATAAAAACTTTGTAGCTATTTGATAGGCATATATTTACATTACATAGTGTTACGGCAAAATACAGGGTCTAAACTTACCCTCTTATTCATAAAAACTGCAAACCTATTTTAACTATTGAAGTGTTTTGTGATTTTCTTTAAAATTTATTTATTTAAGGACAAAAAACAAAGCATATATTTATATAAGCATGCATTTATACATGCTGTCTTAATTAAAGGTCGCCACCACACGTGTATTCAAATTATATATAACTATAAGCATGAAAAATGATAAAAACTACAGTACTAAGTATACAATAAATAGTTAAACTACAGTAACATACTAAATTTGTAAACGTATAAATTGAGAATTCAACGCAAAGAAATAAACAAAATAGCTAAAATAGATTTATAAGACGATTAACGTTTTTATAAATAAGGAATTAAAATTAGGCAGCATGGTCTCCGACCTTAGCATGTTTCACAACGGAACAAACGTACTAAAAAAAAAAGGATTAAAATTATATGGATAATGTTTTCATATAAATACTTCGGTCAATTAGGTCAACTTTTTTCCGTGTTGCGTGAATAGGGTTACCATAATGTATATTTATTACTCATTATATGGGGTAAATTATATTGTATAATTGAATTAAAAAATAAAAACGATACACAATTCTTACTAATATATTTAAAAGAATAAAATAAATAATATATAATGATTCGTAATGATGCTTCTCTTTATTAAATACTTTGATTTATATCTAAGTATAATTATATGTTTTGGTTTTTAAATTACGAACATACGTATATTTATAACAGAAAAGATAATTCCTAATTCAAATTTAAAAATACAATCTGAACTGATAAATTTTTGATACAAATCGTGTTTTTTCCTTGATATAAAAAAATATGTGGGAAATTTAGTATGTCAAACGTCGAATTAGCTAACAAAATTTTAATTTTAACCTGTTTTTGACACTTAATGCTCTACCTATACAATTGAATTTTCTAAATTCTACAAGCATAGACAAAAAAAATATTAATACGTTAGGTACGTAATAATTCTGAACCTAAAACTTATTATTATTTATATTATTTACTTACATATTATTATTATCATCAATATATTAAATTATAATTATTTTGGATTCCTAGAAAAACTATCACTGTGTTTCGAGTTAGTAACTATACCTACCAACTCTGACTTCTACATCCGGAGATTTTAACAATTACCTAAAAAATATATAATATTTCCTAAAACAGCTCCTTAAGCAGATAAATTTTACACTCATGATTACCTATATATTTAATATTGTATTACATTAATTATATATTTATTAATACAATTTGCAATGATATATTTATATGCAAGCCTAGAGATGCCAATCACGCGTAAGATTAGTAATTACAAGGTAAATTACGTATCAGACGAGACAATTGCAAAACATGGTGATTCACATAATCCCCTTGAAATATATTGGCATTTTGTCACAGTTGAACTCGAAGATAATGATTTAATGAAGGTTTTTCTCAAGATTAAATAGAGTTCTATCGATTAATCTCTATGATTTGCCACTACAATTATATAGTCTAGTGCCAACATTATAAATTCAGTCGTCTCTGTAGACTGTACTTTTACCAGAGGGAGACTTTGTACAAAAGTCGATTGCTTGGGTACCTCTGTCCTATTCGTGTTTCAACCGTGAAGCAGTTGTGTTTGCATAGCTGTGTTTCGGTTTGAAGGGTCGGATATGGCGTGAATTTACTGGGTACAGAGTAATAACACTTGAGTCCTCAGGAATGGCAACGCATAGGGACTATCATGGGCTAAACAGTATACTCTGTTATGTCCATGGTACTGCTCATGTCTATAGGCGACGGTTACCACTTTCCATCAGGTGGGCCGTCAGCTTGCTTGCCATTCTAAGTTATATAAAAAAAAAATCTGTAAAATTTACAATTTGGAATAATACTAATACCTTACGAACTACTATAGATTCCTACTAATAAAATTGTCCTGATTATCAACACGCAACCAAAACTACCAAATCTAAGAAGCTGTGAAATTTGATGTGAATTTTGACGTAAGCATTCGCTAAGGATTTTTGAAAATTTCAACTTAATTATAACACCACGCGTGCAAACCCGCGGACAAAAACTAGTCTAGTATATAGTTCAGAAGAGGTAGGTACCTGTATATACATAGTCAAAATATGCCATCAATTGGAATTATTAGTAAGGTCACTTTTCTCGGGCCAGGGGGTCAATAGACGCCTGTCATACACTCACCTACAGTGCACTGTAATAATTATACGATCGGGCATATGTTATGCAACATTAAGGCGATTCTGAGGTAGCATTTATTATTATTATTATTGAGAGACAGGTTTTTTTCAGGCAGAAAAACCTGTAACACTGCGACATTTCCATGCTCTTTTGTACTCGCCCTTTTTTAAAGTTCGCTGGTTATTCCTATCGGTGATAAAAATTCTAAAATGTTTTTTGTAGCGATATTTTTATCTCCTCAGGATATAATGTGTTTTCGTTTATGTATATTCGTTTATATATGAGTGGGCTACAGCCACAAAATTAAACGCTGCGGCGTTTCTTCCTCATTGTGACAAAATCTGCAAACACTTTTCGAGCATAAGTCTAATTGGGCCATGTGCTTGTTTAGTTTGCAGTTTCCAGTGAGAGTCCTTGTTAATTCTCACACATAATATTTTTACTCAAAAGAATTAAGTTCTTAGACATTTCCAAAAACCCAGGATTTTTAAGTGATTTAAACCTGGTAACAAGAACCAGCTATTATTTGCTGCTTCTAAACTTTTAAGTTTGAGATATATTAATTTTAGACTTCGAGGTTAATATTACACAATAAGGTTCTGGTCTTGTTTGGAGATTTTTTTTTCAACACAGGGGGCAAACGAGCATGCGGCTCACCTGATGGTAAGTGACTACCGCCGCCCATGATCACCCACAACACCA